TTTAAATAGGCTAATGAGGAAGACCTTTACATAAATTTACAAGTTTACATTGAATAGTTAACGAGTGATGACCATAATAATAATAAAAATATATTATGTTACATGCAGTATATATTATTTAATTAACTATATAACAGCATATTAGGCTTAAAAAACTTTGGTGACATAAAACGTAGCAAATTTTTATTTAAATAAACTTTTAAGAAAACAATGACCTATCCTATTACTTGCTAAATAACGTCTAATGGCCGAATAAAGAGAACCAATGCGCAGACCAATCACATGGTTTATGCTCAGGAAAAATCAGTTTTTAGGGAGTTCAATCAAGTCCCCCCGGGACATAGTAATTTAATTTAGTTGATATTTGTGCTGTTAATAAGTCTTGAAGCATTGAAGTTGTTTAGTTGTTCTTTGGGCTGTTAAGCTATTATGGTGTGCAACAGAACTTAAAAAATTAAATTGAACTGTAAATTGAACTGAATTATACATAAAATAATTGATTTTTAAAGAGTCAGTTCATGAAACGAATTAGTTTTTAAGAATTAGTTCAAAAATCAAATTATTTTTTTTCTTCTTTTTCTCTATATTTTTCTTATTTATTTATTTATTTAGTGGCTTCTTTAATTTTTATCTTAATTTTTTTTTCTTTTTAAAATAGGTTTGATCCGAACTAATTCTAAACCGAACTAGTTTGAAATAAAAATAATAGTTTGATTCTTTGAACTGAATTAGAGTTCATTTAAAAAAAAAATCAGTTCAATTCGACTCATGCATATCCATACTTATATCTTTATTTAAAATAATAATAATAATAATGTGTAATGAGAATCTATAGGTTCTTAAGGGTTCATTGGCCTGATAGCCTTAGTTATTTATAATAGACGCCAATTATTAATTAGTAATTAGTTTCCCCTATCTTCTAATGTTATATGGATTAGTTAATTGACAATTTTTGAGTTAGCTATAACAATGAGAATTGATCCTCTCTTTTTTTTGAAGTATTTGGTGCGTGTTTAGATTAATTTATTTTGAGGTCTAACAAACTTTTGAATCAAATATTTCTTGAAAAGAATATTCAAACAAAAGAGAAATTATTTGCATAATAAAGGAGACTACGTATATATAATGGATAGAAAATTGCTAATTAGGATTTCACCCCTTGTCAAAACGTTATTACGTATTAGATTTAGATTAATACGGGGCAAAAAAATTAAAATAATGCATTTAAATTAAATAATTACGCATTTAATGTTGTTTTGTAAAAAATTACACATCTACTGCACAATGTGATGCCACTTTTGGGCGTCACATGTGACGCCCAAAAGTGGCTTCACATGTGTGCTCTATATATTTCCCCACCCCCTCCATTTAATTCACACCTCTTCTCTCACTCTTTATATCTTTCTTCTCCACCAACATTCCTTTATCTTTAATTTAGTATTTGAATTTTATTTCTTGTTCTATTTAAAAATGAGTTCAAATCCTGATTATGTTCGTGTTGTGTTATATTACAATGGTAGGAAGGTAGAAGGTCTACGAGGTGTCATCTTCGAAGGTGAAAAAAGACCGACACGTATCCAACGCAACACAACCATTGGCGAACTGCATCAGAGAATTTGGCAAAAGTTAAGTCTTCCAGACAACCAATGTATCACTGAGATCACGACAAGGGTGTGGCAAGGTGATAATACATTAGTTTGAAAGTGCTTGACGATGAAGACTTGGAGATGACAATGGAAGAATTTTGCAACCAGTTAAGGAAAGATTTTCTAGAGTTGTATGTCGATATCGCCGCAACCGAGAATGCTCCCTTACCGGTGAGGTCAGTTCACTACTAGAAAAAACTTGTATAGCGACGGAATTGCTATGGAAATTCCGTCGCTAATTTCATCCTCGCTACTACTTTCCGTCACAAATTCCCTCGCAAACGATTTTGCGAGGAAATTTGCGACGGAAAGTAGTATAGAAGATGAAATTAGCAACAGAATTTTCATAGCAATTCCGTCGCTATAGAGATTTTTTCTAGTAGTGGTTTATTTAAATTCTCCCCGTTTTCTTCCAGCTTCTCCTGCCGCTCATGCGTCTCCAGTTGGTAACTTTTTTGAGGGAGATGAAAATGATCCGACTTGGAAAATGCACGACGAAGATGATGATGACGACGATGAAAATATGGCAATGGAAGAACGTCTTCTGGCAGAGGATGCTAGTGCTTCAGAAGGAGATGAATCTCGTGAGATGGGTGCGTCTCAAATCCCAATATTCCATCAACCAGTCGTCGCGCAAATGCCGCAGTTGAATGACGTTGCGTCTGCCCCGTTCGGTATTCACCATGAAGGTAATTGATCCCATTTGTATATAGCTGAATAGATAACTGATTTAATACCTGAATTAGTAAGTTTGTATTAAAAAATTATAATCCGCAATTGCAGGTGACACAGATGTTATTCCTTTTTGGGAAGGAATTCCGCATTATTCCTACATTGATTGGAGTTATCAGAGCGAACAAGAATCATGTACTGATGGTTCGGTCTCTGGATCGGCTTCAATACAAGGTCCGTGGCAACTGGGTGAGATGTTTTTTGTCAATCAAGAATTTGCGATAAAAAAAGATGTCCAAATGGCACTTAAGCACAACCTCATTAGGGAGCATCAAGAAGCCATTGTAATTGAGAGCACGCCTGCAAAGTTGTCCATGAAATGTTGTGCGTATGATCAAGGTTGTCCGTGGCGCGTAAGGGCAATCAAACTGGTGTTTCGTGAAAATTGGAAGATTACGAGATGGGGTGGAAAACACGAATGTGTGAATGAGCACATTTCCCAGGGTCATAGACAGCTCGATGCGGACGTTATTGCAGATCTCGTCATAGGTACGTATTTATTTACCGTATTGACATGTCAATGTTTACGTACCGGTAGGTGGCCCCCCTTGTGGCTTCCCACGCCTGGTCTTAATTTGTCTTACATGCTTTGTATTCCACACTCGCTGTGAAATATGAGCTTTTTGCGTCCTCTTTCGAAGGACGTCTCACCTGTACGGCCCAGGTATGATCCACATGCTGGGATCGGTGGGCTTTACATCCGACTCAGATCCCGATGAAGATTATGACTCAGCCATTATCCTCAACTATATAATATAAAACAACATTTAAATTAATCACATGTAACAACATTTAAATTATTCACATCTAACAACTATATAATATAAAACAGCATATGCGTCATTTATTTAACTAGAATCGAAATTTATGAAGTCCCGCCAAAACATAGAACAGTTATTTATTTGCAATTAAATAATAATAATACATCGAACAAAAATAATATAATACTAACTGAATACTTAACCCTAGGTCACTACCAACTTGTCCAATACGTACTAATCATCACACCTAACTAACTACAAAGTTATGCACTCCCGCATTAATAACATCATACATACGAAATTTACGAAGTTCCTAACACTATTTATAAATCACTAATTAATATGCTAAACCCCAATGCATAATTAAAAATTAATAATAATAACTACGTAATAATAAAATTACTATATCATTACAACATTCATAGCATGCCACAAAATTTCTAAGTGACTATCCTAATATTCCAAGTCTCTAATATACAATCAATCATAACATGTATTACTAACTAGTACTGTAATTTAAATGTATACATATGAGGTATTATGACCTTACCTACGTTGGCAGAGCTTCGCTACGAATCGCGGTTAGAGAGAGGTTAGAGAGGTAAATGAGTAAGGAGTGAAAAAAGGAAAGTGGGGTATATATATGTTGCACATAAGACGCCCCAATGGGGCGTCTTCTCTAAGGGAGAGTCTCATTGTGTAACAGATGTGTAATTATTTACAAAACAGCATTAAATGCGTAATTATTTAATTTAAATGTATTATTTTAATTTTTTGCCATTAATACGGTGCCTTTGAGAACCACGATTTTTTATTCTTACTTAGGAAAAGAGAAATATTTTATATGTTACAGGATGAATTTATAAAAAGAAAACCAAAGAGAATCAATGTGAGATTTAAATATTTTTTTAAAAACAATATTATCGACTTTGAAGTCAATTAAAGCATGTAAAAAACATGGATGGAGGAATCAAACGTGAAAAATAGCAGGAAAATGATGGAGAAACCAATTTTATTAATGTGAATTGTGAATTATACCTGTGCACAAGGCATATTCGTCCAATTTTGTCCTTTTACAATGCCGTGGTGGGGCATCAAAATTATTGCACCCCTCACAAAATTACACACAAGTCCTCCACTTTGTCCCCCTAGGGTCCCACCACACCCTTCTCGTGGCCCAGAAATAAATAATGATGAATACAACGGATGACGAATCTTTTTGTATACTGCCTCGAGAAAAAACCCCCAAAACCATTCACAAGACGCCGCGTATTTCATCCATTTCCTACAATAATGCTCCAAATATTTCTTCGTATAAATACAACAACCAACGTGTTGGCCCCACTTACTCCCCCATCGGATAAGATCTTAAATCAACGACCCTGATCTTGCAACGTCGTAGCTCCATCACATCACCCATGGACCCCACCGATCACAAGATTAGGATCAAACATCTTTTTTTCTTTTCGATAATTATAGTCCTTAAAATTATTGTATCCTGAGTTAATAAATATTTTTAAAAATATTTTTGCTAGACTTTATTGATAAATAATGCAAGACAAAGTGGCATAAAATATTGAAATATGAATATTCGAGTATATCCAGATGGTTGGGCAATGAGTAGGTTGAAATTATTGGACGGAACTGACGTGGATCCTTGCTGTCTCACCCAATTTTCAGTCGAATTACATGATTGGTTAGATCCGAATAATCCAATCGAATTTTGCCACGTAGGATTCCAGAATTTACTATCATGTGCGCGGCGGGCAGAGTCCAAGTTGGCCAAGAGGTGGGACCCTTAACAAACAGAAATTTGGTATAAAAGTAATTGACACACATGATCAAAACCAAGCAGGAAGTGAGTCAAACAACATAGACAACGTTAATCATGGGTGGAACCTCCATGGCCGGAAGAGTTACCAGGTTTCTGGCGAGTCGCCGCCGGGAACCGGAACTCGACAGCCTCGAGTTTGTGTATGCGGTGGAGCAACCTGACAAGAGTGTTGGTGATGTTGAGTTTGAATTTCTTGATGTCGACGGAGAGATGATGTTAGCTCAAAGTTCTAGCAGCGATGAGTGTCATCACACGAATGAAATGGAGTTGGAAGAAGACGAGGAAGACAAAATTGGTACCACCGAGGAGAACAGAAGCTTTTGGGATAATCAACACCAGGTTTTGCAGGTAATTAATTAATCAATCAATTAGTAAACATGTTCTTCTATTAGATTCATAATAATTTTGTGATTAATTCTTTCTTAGCTTAATTTGTTCAACTCTATAATTTCATTCAAATGAGAAATAATTGTCACTTTTTCATTCTCATTTCAACTTGAATTTGTAAAACAAACACACCAAAGTTTTCAATTCATCCATTTTAAAATGTTTTCACTTTGCTCAGGATTTAATTTTTTCTGTTTTTTCTTTTGATGAAAAGATAAGGATGAAGTTTGTTATATATGCTATTTTGTTTTGTACCAAAAGCTTAGTTGGCTTGAGACATATATGATTTGTTTGTTTTGACCAAATGGGGTTTAATTTAATGCAGGCCAATATAAGCAGAACAAGTTCTTTGGAATCAAGGATAAGGCATGCCACCAAAGAAGCGCTTCATGAAATACAAAGCACAGAAACCGTTTGTGGTTGTAACAGACAAATGGCTGCCACCACTTGCCGAAACTGCTTGATGAGAGAAGTTTCAAGGCGGCTTCAGAAAGCAGGTTATAATAGCGCCATTTGCAAAACAAAATGGAGAAGCTCACCGGATATTCCATCAGGTATATATATATATAATAACATCATTTTCTATTTTTTACTTTAACTTGTGCCCCTTTTTTTCCAGTTTGTTGTCTTTTAATAAATGAAAAGAAATCTTCGGGGTGGGTCTTAGATCATAATAAAACAAAACTACATTATCCCTTTTTTTCCACTTTAATAAAAAAGTCCCTTTCAAATTATGACATGTTTGGATCCTCTTATTTTTAAGCTAGAAGCTACTTATAAGCTAAAGCTAAAATAAAGAGCTTAAAAAAAGAAGCTAAAAGCTGTTTGGAAATTACAAAAAAAATTTAGCTTAAAAATTACTTAAAAGCACATATTTCAAGAAAATTATCTCTTTTTCTATCTTTATCACTCTTCATTTAAAAAAAAAAAGAACACAATTCAAGAAAAACAGATGAGAGCTTAAAAAAAAGCTCCTCCTATGAGCTTTTAATTTTCAGCTTTTTCTTCATTATAAAAAAAAGAGCTTTTCGTTATAAGAACTTTTTCCAAAACCTGTTTGGCCTAACTTATGCTTATAAGTAGCTTCTAGCTTAAAATTAAGAAGATCCAAAGAGGCACTAAGTACTATGACTTTAGCACTTTAGCCGTGGGGCTGTGTTGATAAGATTAGAATTAGCAGGGATAGATCTTAATTAATCTAGGAGACTTTACGACATTGATTAAGGAAACAAAAAAAAAATGTTAAATTAAAAAATAAACGACTTCTTAGTTAGTGTCTTTACTCTTTAGAGTTTAGACCCATATGTTCAAAAATTTCATTAACTAATTATAAACTTATATATTGGGTGATAGGTGCAATTAGAAAAGTGAGAAAATTCTCCAAAAATTTTAGTTGAGAAACTAAATTAGATAAAACTGTCTTCTTAAAGTTTAATATCGAAAGTTTCTTAACCTTATTATCAAAACTCTGTGCAGGTGAACACAATTTTTTGGACGTGATAGACAATACAAGCTCAAAGAAAGGAGAGGTGAGGGTGATCGTAGAGCTGAATTTCCGAGCAGAGTTTGAGATGGGAAGAGGAAGCGAGGACTATAATCGACTTGTTCGGAGGCTTCCAGAGGTGTTTGTGGGGAAAGTAGAGAGATTAAGCAACCTAATAAAGATATTGTGCATGGCAGCCAAAAGGTGCATGAAGGAAAAGAAAATGCACATGGGACCATGGAGGAAGCATAGGTACATGCAAGCTAAGTGGTTAGGTCCATGTGAAAGGAACACTTCAACAACCCCACTTTCAATGGGATATTCTAAGAGTATTCCAAAGCAAAAACCAAAGGCATCCATGTTGACTGTTGATCTGTTGGAGAAGCTTCCCAATATGCATTGCACAGCGGTTGAGGTTGTCTAATATATATAGATATATATATATATATAAGAGGGATAAGCCTAGTTTTTCTCCCTCTTTAGTTTTGGTAAATTTATTTTATTTTTTCACCCCTTTCCTTGATGAAAATTAAAGGAGTGACTCGCAAATGTGTTGGAATAGAAGATTATATATGTTGTTATGATTTGCTGTGATATGTTGTAACCTGTAGTTTGTTAGGATATGTATAACTGAGTCCTATTGTAATTAGGTGTAGTTACTTATCTTTAGGAAGTTGTTTTACTATTTGGTAACAGACTGTTTGGTAACAGCCGTAACAGCCTATTCTATTTAAGATACATTGATGTACAGTTTTAAATCAATGGAAATACTATCAATTGATACCATTTATCATGGTATCAGAGCGATCCCTTGTTAAAAAAAAAAAACTTCCGCAACGTGTAGACTCTGAAAACAGTGAGCAGGAGATAGCTTCTGTTGAAGATGGCCAATGAAAACAGCAGCAGGTTGAAGCCATCAGACCCTGGATCACCATTCTATCTGACTGGATCAGATAGCCCAGGGATTCTTTTAACAACCGTTATGCTGAGAGGAGAAGCCAACTACGAGAATTGGGAAAAGTTTGTTGAACGTCCTCCATGCATTCACTGCGGGAAAACTAATCATGAAGCCTCTCGATGCTGGCAAGCATTTGGCTATCCTGGACGTGGTGGTAGCAGAGGACGAGGACTTGGACGAGGACGTGGACGTTTCGGTGGTGATAGGAGCAGTAACCCACAAGGAGGATTCCATGCAAAGCCATTTGGTGCACACGCAGCTCAAACGGAGGAACCACTAGAGCAAGCAAATGCATTCGCCATTCTGACACCTGACGTGGTGACACAATTGTTATCATTGGTTGACAACCCGCAACGCTCAAAGGACAAATTAAATCGTAAAGATTCCCATTGTCACTGGCTTATAGATAGTGGTGCATCACGCCACATGACAGGGGTATTGGAATTGCTGGAGAATGTTACAGATGTTGAACCTTTGGCAATCGGTTTACCCAATGGAGCTATTACTTATGCTGTGCAACAAGGATCTGTTTCGTTTACTCCTTCTTTTTCATTATCCAATGTCTTATTTGTGCCAAATTTAAAGTGTAACTTGATATCTGTATCTCAGTTGGTACGACAACATAATGTTGATGTGGTATTCACTAATAATAGTTGTGTTTTGCAGGACCGCAAGCTGAGGACGGAGATTGGATTGGGTGATCACAGGGATGGTGTGTATGTGTTTCGACCAAGCCAAGCAGCAGCTTTAACAGTTCGCTCCAGTGATACGCAAGAACTTTGGCACAAGCGGTTGGGCCATGCATCATCCGAAGCACTTTCTCTGATTCCTTTTTCTAGTAGCATTCGATTTGGCAATGTAAACAATAAGGCATGCGATATTTGTTATCGTGCCAAACAAAATCGATCCTCGTTTCCCATTAGTGATCGAAAGAGTAATAAAATTTTTGATCTTCTTTATTATGATACATGGGGTCCTTACCGCACTTCCTCTTTCTCTGGTGCTTATTATTTTTTAACGATAGTCGATGACTTCAGTCGTGCTGTTTGGGTTTGTTTGATGGGTGACAAAAGTGAAACTTTTGGTGTGTTACAAAAATTTCTTTTAATGGTGCAAAATCAGTTTAATACAACAGTTAAGAGTATTAGATCAGATAATGGAACTGAATTTACTTCCAACAAGATGATTGAATTATTCACTGCCAATGGTATATTTCATCAGAAATCCTGTGTTCATACGCCGCAACAGAACGGTCGGGTAGAACGGAAGCATAGGCATATTCTAAATGTGTCTCGTGCTCTTTTGTTTCAAGCAAACTTGCCAATCAAATTCTGGGGAGAGAGTGTGATGACAGCAGCTCATATTATTAATAGAACTCCCACAAAGTTTCTCAATGGCAAAACTCCTTATGAGCTTTTGCATGGATCTGTTGCTGATTACAGTCACTTAAGGATATTTGGCTGCCTATGTTATGCGGTGACACAACCAAAACCTACAAACAAATTTAGTCCACGGTCTAGGCGGTGTATGTTTGTTGGTTATCCTCATGGGCAGAAAGGTTGGAGAGTGCATGATCTTAATACTAAGGAATTCTTTGTGTCACGAGATGTCAGTTTCCACGAAGATGAGTTTCCTTTTGTTGCTATAAGTGTGCCTACACCTAGCCCATCATTACCTACATTTATACCAATAGATTCTAATGATTCTGCCAATCCAGTATCTCAATCAACTTCAAATGATTGTGAGGCAGAAGTGCAGTTGGAAGATAGGGGGAGTGTCCATCAGTCTGAAAGGGAGCCGAATGAAGATTCTACATCAAATGCTGATCAAGTGCAAAGGAGTGAGGATCCAGCTCCTGCTCTCGTACAAAGGAATGAAGATTCAGCTCACGAACTTGTGCAAAGAAGTGCAGAATCAGCTCAAAACGATTCTCTTCGTCCAGCACGCACACGAAGGCCTCCGTCCTATTTGAGTAACTACAAATGTAATCTGATTGAGGCACATACATACACTCCCAGTCTCACCTCTTCTAGCTCCACCTCAGGTATACGGTATCCAATTGCCAACTATGTGAATACTAACAATTTTTCTTCAAAACATCGAGTTTTTGTTGCTGCTATTGATGCAGGTAGTGAACCTCGGTCATTTAAAGAAGCAATGACCAATGATGTTTGGCGTAAAGCTATGGCTCAGGAGATACATGCACTAGAAGAAAATAATACGTGGACTATCACTGATTTACCTGTAGGCAAACATGCCCTTCCATGTAAATGGGTATATAAAATTAAATATCATTCCAATGGTAGCATCAAGCGCTACAAAGCAAGGTTGGTAATTGCAGGTAATCATCAAGTTCCAGGAGAAGATTTCCATGAAACTTACGCTCCTGTAGCGAAAATGGTGAGTGTTAGAACTCTACTCTCGGTTGCAGCTGCAAAAGGTTGGTACTTGCACCAAATGGATGTTCATAATGCGTTTCTTAATGGAGAACTGGACGAAGAAGTGTATATGCGCATACCGGCAGGCTTTAATCAAGGACAAGGAAGAAAAGTGTGTCGTTTGCAAAGGTCGTTATATGGCTTACGACAATCTCCCAGGAATTGGTTTGCAAAGTTGAGTTCCTCACTTATTAAATATGGTTTTGTTCAATCCGAAGCAGATCACACTTTGTTCACTTTGAAGCGTGGTTCTACCTTCTTGACCATACTAGTCTATGTTGATGATTTGGTGTTGGCAGGCAATGATTCCCAAGCATGTCAAGAGGTTAAGATTTATCTTAACAAGTGTTTTAAAATTAAAGATTTGGGTCACTTGAAATATTTTTTGGGCATCGAGGTTGCCCGTAGCAATGAGGGTATCTTCTTGTGCCAACGAAAATATGCATTAGATATCCTCAAAGAAACAGGTTTGTTGGATTGTAAACCGGTTCAGTTTCCAATTGAACAGAATCATCGCTTAGCTCTGGCAGATGGACCTGACTATGATGATCCAGGTCGCTATAGAAGAATTGTCGGCAAGCTAGTGTACCTTACGATCACTCGTCCTGATTTGAGTTATGTAGTGCACACTCTTTCACAGTTCATGCAAGCTCCAAAGGAAGCACATTATGAGGCTCATTCGGGTACTAAGATACATCAAAATGAATCCTGGCCAAGGTATCCTCATTTCTTCCAAAAGTGATCTCAAAATTCATGCTTTCTGTGATTCAGATTGGGCCAGCTGCCCTTTAACTCGCCGGTCAGTTTCTGGGTTCTTCATTATGCTTGGAACCTCACCTGTTTCTTGGAAAACAAAGAAGCAACTCACTGTCTCACGCTCCTCAGCAGAGGCTGAGTACCGCTCCATGGCTGCCGCGACAGCATAATTGATATGGTTGAAGTCTTTTCTTGCTTCACTTGATGTTATCCATGATGATCCTATGGAATTATGTTGTGATAATCAAGCCGCTATACATATCGCGGCAAATCCTGTGTTCCATGAGCGAACTAAACACATTGAAATTGATTGCCATTTTGTCCGTGAAAGGTTGGTTTCTAAGACGATTCGAACTACTTTTGTTCGTTCTCATTTGCAACTCGCAGACATTTTCACCAAAGCACTTGGTCGTGTTCCATTTCTTGCCGTTCTTTCCAAGTTAGGCATTTCATGTCTTCATGCTCCAACTTGAGGGGGAGTGTTGGAATAGAAGATTCTATATGTTGTTATGATTTGCTGTGATATGTTGTAACCTGTAGTTTGTTAGGATATGTATAACTGAGTCTTATTGTAATTAGGTGTAGTTACTTATCTTTAGGAAGTTGTTTTACTATTTGGTAACAGACTGTTTGGTAACAGCCGTAACAGCCTATTCTATTTAAGATACATTGATGTACAGTTTTAAATCAATGGAAATACTATCAATTGATACCATTTATCAAAATGTCACAAACCTGTCAATGTAAAAATAATTTATAGAAATGGATGCGCAGTTCAAAGCTGCTCTTAACGTTCATACATCGCCCTTTTAACATATATAAACTTTTCTTCATTGATCCTACTATATATTGCTTTACATGTTAGACAAATGGTTTTTTCAACAATTTTTTTTATCTTGATCTTACTAATAAAAACGAGACAAGACTAATATAAAATTTCATTTAATAATAAAAATATTAAAAACATAAATCTTGCTAACCACTCTCGCAAAAAAAAATTTAAGACATTTTATTATATATATATATATATATATATATATGGAAAAAACTTCTCTTATGCTACATGTGATAAGTTTCTCTCCTACACACTCTTTCGGTAACTGTGTCACCTTTTTCTTTTATTTTATTTTTCAGGACACACCCTTCGGTAACTATGCCACTTTTTTCTTTTCTTTTCTTTTTATTTTTCAGGTGGTAGAGTCTACAAGTTTGTCTCTATGGCATGAGATAACTTATCTCCTTTAACATGATATTAATAAAACCCTATATATATACAAATAAATCAATTATGACTAAAATCTTTGATCATAGCATTCTAGATTTCTAATGTTATCAAAAATATTATAATGAAACATTTAGGATGTGCATGACTAGGGTTGGCAAAACGGGCCAACCCGGCTCGACTTGGCCCAACCCACATTCAATCCGAAAAAAAACGAGTCGAGTTATGGTTGGCTCGAAAAAAAACGAGTCAGAAAACTCAACTCAACTCAACCCGAGTCGGGTTAGGGTTGGCTCGCGGGTTGGCTCAAAAATATGGCTCGTGAGTTAGCTTGAAAAAATAGCTTGTGAGTTGGCTCGAAAATTGGCTCGCGGGTTGGCTCGAAAATTTCTCACAGGTTGACTCGTTTTCAGCCTATTTAAATAAACATTTAGTATTAATGCACAAGCTATGTGGCTTCCATCAGCTTAAACAAAGAGTTACAAAATGAGAAATAAAAGCAAAATATTTCAGTTTCGAATTTTCTTCACAATAAATTTGCATCAATATCAAGAAACAATCTGAACCACTTGCTACCAAGTGGATAAGATATTTGAACCAAACAGAGCCAGTACAGCCTAACAATATAAAAATGGCAGGGATGTGAGAAGATTACAGACTTAGGTTTAGAAAAGGAAGAAAGACAATGACAGCATGCGTGGGTTTTGTCCATTTTTGTATTTTATATTTTGTATTTTTTATATAAAAAAAAAACTCAACACTCGAGCTAGCTTGTTTGACCCGCAGGTTGGCTTATTTTTTTTCGAGCTGGCTCGGGTCGGGGTGGTTCGGGCTGGGTTGGCAGCTCATTTTGCCAACCCAACCCGACTCATTTTTTACGGGTTACGAGCCAACCCGACGAGTTGGCTCGTTTTTGCCACCCCTATGCATGACAATCTTCTCGAAATCAATTTTTTTCTTTTTAATTTATGTTCCTCACAACAGAAATGGATAAAAAAACTCGTTTGGCAAAATCGGTTTATTTTTTTGTTCTCGGAAAGAACCAGTTTAATTTTTGTGCTGGGAAAAAGAAAAAAGAATAAAAAAATTTCTGTTTTTTTGTTCCTAGGCACAAAATGAGAAACATTTTTCTCTCTCAATTACTCTCTACCACTACCATCATCACCACCACCACCACCATCCTGACACGACCACCACTACCATCGTCATACCATCACCACCACCTCCACGTCACCACCACCACTACTACCATCACCGTCACCACCATTATCACTACCACCGTCACCAATCACCAGCACCACCATCATCGTAGTCACTGCCATCACCACCACGCAACGACTACTACCGCCATCGTTGCTGCCACCACCACCGGCATGTTCCATCACCATCATCATCATCGTAGACACTGCTGTCACCACCACCATCACCACTACTATTATCATGCCACCGCCACCGCCATATCATCATCATCACCATCGTCGCAGATACTGTTGTCACCACCATCACCACTATCGCCGCTGCTGCCACTATGCTACCATTACCACCACTGTCGCTGCCACCACTACCATTATCACGTTATTGCCTCTGCCGCCACCATCACCACTATGTCGTCACCATCACCACCACTACTGCCACCACCATCACCACCATTATCACCACCATCGCTGCGGCCACTATTGTCACCACCACCACCTCTACGTCACCGCCACTATCACCACCATCACCGTCACCACCATTATCACTATCATCACCGCCACCACACCACTACCACCACCATTATCGCCGTCGCCCGCCACCATTACCACCACCATGCCATCACCTCCACCACCACCCCCATGACGCTACCGCTACCACCACCATCACCATAATGCCACTGCTACAACTACTGCTGCCGCCACTACACCATATAAAAAGGGAAGTGATGATCTGAAAAAAAATTATGCTTAATAGAAATGATGTTTTATTTTATTATATGTTGTGTTATCAAACACAATTCTCATTCTCGGAATAAAAATAATACATGTTATCAAACACATTTTTTTCTCAGAAATTGTTCCAATGAACAAAAATATAAAAGAATTGTTTCTTTTCAGAACACACTCTTAACTTTTTGGTGCTATTTTGTTGGGTAGTTTCGTTTGCATCATGTTATAAATTCAAATGTCGATGCCAACACTGTATAAAAAACTGAATCAGTATAATTTATATTTAAAATCAATTTTTAAAAAATTGCCAATTTCAATAAAGTGTGATATTGTTCATTCCCACTAACTATGATCGATAAATAATTAAGTATATAATTGGTATTTAAATAACTCAAATTCAAAAAGTTCCAATAATTAAAATATTATTATTTGAAATGGTAAGAAAGTTTCACTTAAATCAAACTTAGTAATGACTTATGAGTAAATTTGACTTAAGCTTAAGCTTTTTAAAATTGGAATACCTAAAAAATGAGGTTATATCAAAGAGTGTGAATTTGGAAAGAAAAAAAAAACTCATATATGAATGACATGTAATATTTGACTTTGACATAAGCTAATTAATTTTTATCCTTTTGAAAGCCAATCAACTTGATATTGTCTTATAAGATATATATTCTCTATTTGCAAAGCAAATGAACAAATGTAAATTTATATAAAAGTTAATTATTGTATCCTAGCTCCTTAGACTTTGAAATAAGTGTAATAATATAAACTCGCGTTTTGCAATTCAGATTACTTATATATAACCAAAATATTTTCTTTTTGCTATAAAGAAAATAAAATTTTTAATCTTCCGTATCTCATTCATGAAGATTAACTCCATGCTTTCTAAACCATAGTGAAGATTGTTTGACCACTTGATGGGCACAGTGAAGAAAGCAGTGTACTATTTGGGATAACAGGACACAAGCATTTGAGTTGAGTGAATCCCATGTAGTGTTTGGGGTTCTTTCTCTTTTAGCTCAAGTGATAAATGCCCTGAGACTGAGAGCTTGGACAACTATCATTTTTTCATAAACTCAGCCCAAATGAACCCTGCTTGTCTCCTCTTAACTCCATTTGGGCTCAAAGGATAAAGCAGTGTAAAAGCCCCCATTTGATGTGGGTTTTAGTAAGATTGGCCCATGTATAAACAACTTGGTTTATAGGGTTGATTGATCACTCTACTCTACCCTTTTAAAACTAATTTATTATTTTGCCTATTTTAAAATTAATGTATCATTTTGCTTATTAATAAATAATATATTAATTTATTTTTTCTTAAATTATATATTAATATGTCAATGTTTGACCAATCTACTCAATTACATGATTAAACGTTGGTTAAATATAGTTTAAAAAGAGAATAAGGTGATAAATTTTTTTAAGTCTCTTCAACTGATTTATTTTTTGGACTAATCCGATTCGAATATTGTTGGATTTTATAAAGGCAACCGCTATTTCAAAACTATTACGAAATCTTTGATTAATGAACACAAATTTCTTGTTATTTGTAACAGTGATGTTTGGTATAAATTTTGTTAAAAGGGAAAAAGGATGTTGAATCAGCCGATTTATAGGTATGTTGCATACATTTGCACCGACAAAACCTAGTACAGGGGTACGTGCGAACCGTACCCTCCATCGCATATAATTATTCCTATAAATAATAAAATACAAACCTTTGGGTTAATAAAAAGCATAATAACAAAGGCCATCCGTACCTCATTCTCTCTAAATAGCGACACTTGGATTCCAACACTGACCACTTTCAATGCTTTTTCTCTCTCTCTCTCTCTCTCTCCATCTCAAATTCCGAAAACAAAACAATTACATGTCTATTCCGTTTTCTCTGACTTTCTGCCTAAGGTCCCCACATTCCCATTTCGCACAACCACACTCCCTAACCTAACCCATCATAACCATGTCCCTTTGCACATGGATTATTCATTTTACACAACATCTAAATGAAAGGTGCATATCCATCATCATGCAAAACAAATACAACATCTCAGCTCCTTGAATTGAAATTTTTACGGTCACTATTTTCCTCCCCATCTATGATATCTTTGTATTGACCTGACCCTACTAAATTTACATTATTAAAAATTAAAAATTAAATATTCTTAATAAAAAAAAAACGAGATACTCTCCATCTGTCTTTCTTTCTCTTTCTTTGGGGAAAAAATATGGAATTAGGTGCCGCATTTTTCTGGCCTTGGTAACGTAAAAGCTCCAAGCTCGTATAGGCGAACAGAAACACCCTTTCTGGCATAGTCATTTGATTTCTCCACCTTGGTGAAAGCCTTGAAACCCTTGAGGTAATGCTTGATTACTACTATTTTACAAAACATCATTTTGCTTTACATTTTTCTTTCTATAAATTTATTTCATCCTTTTTGTCTGGGAAATCTGGATCATCTTCATGTGCCAATAATTTAATGTGTTTGTCATTCTCTTAATGCAATTATTAATTTTTTGTTTTTTTTTTTTTGCTTTTTCTTGTTCTGTTGCTATTAGGGATGAAATCATGGATGTTTCTTCACCATCAGCAGAAATATTTCAATTCTTTTTTATTTTTTTGGTTTCTGTTCATTTATTTAGTTTTAATTTTATTTATTGTTGAATAGATTAATTTACTGAGTTATCTGCGTGGGATTTTCCAGGCTTTCACGGAAGGTGGTATTTTACTGGAAGGGGTGTTTCTATTAGCAGTTAATTGAACCCGTTGTCCCTTTTTCGTTTCCCAATAGAAAAATCAGATTTTTTGTGTTTCCTACGCTAATTGTTGTTGATGGGTTTGAAGAAATCAATCTAGTTTTGAGACCAATTTCTTCCGGCTAGAGCTGGAGGAGTTTTTGTAACTTGTAAGTAGAAGATCTTAATAAGGTTTTGTAGGAAGGAATAGTTGGAAATAAAGATGGAAGAAGATACTAATTCTTGGCTAAGGAGGACGAAATTCTCTCACACAGTGTGCCATAGATTGGATCCTTCTAGATTGGGGTCTATTCCTTTCAGCATTCAGTCAGAGCACAACTCAAAGCCTTCTTCACAGGTTCAGAGAAATCTCAAATTAAACAAGCATAGATCTTTGTCACCATTGCCTCAAACTTTTCTTTCTGAGGCCTTCAGAGAAGCTAGACACGAGCAGAAGAGGTTCTCAACACCAGGTCCTAGGAGGAATAAGAGAATTATGGGCAAGTTATTGAACAAGGATCCTCAGGAAATTAAGGTATCAAGTTCAAAATCGCCTTCCAATAGTCCAAACAGGCAAATGAAGTCGAAGCACCCCAAGGATTCGGCATGGACTAAGTATTTGGAAAATGGTGGAGGAAGGGTTACTGCTGTGGAAACCGCTGAAGAATGGACTGTTGACCTGTCTAAGCTGTTTCTTGGCCATAGGTTTGCTCATGGAGCTCATAGTCGGCTTTACCATGGTGTATATAAGGAAGAGCCTGTTGCTGTTAAAATAATTAGAGTACCTGATGATGACGAAAATGAAACCTTGGCTGCTCGATTAGAAAAACAATTCATTAGAGAAGTCACCCTTTTATCTCGCCTCCACCATCAAAATATTGTAAAGGTGATACCATCTTTTCTCTTCTTTTGTATATGTTGTTTGCAAAGTATATATGTTTATTACAGATACTTCTTTTATGTCTTATTGAATACGGTTAGCTATCTGTTGTTTGTACTAATTACTGGATTTGACCCTATAATTGTGTTGGAATAACAAATTTTGAAAGTGAGCATGCGACTTTATGCATCCTTTCTCGTTTATTTTGGTGTGATTGTGAAGTTCAAATCATGTTGAGATGTTTTCCTGCAATGATGAGTCTGCTAATTTGTATGTATTTCCTCATATATTTTGATCTGATTGCAGTTCTCAGCAGCATGCAGAAATCCACCGGTTTATTGTATTATCACAGAATTTCTATCGGAAGGTTCCTTGAGGGCATATTTGCATAAGTTGGAGCACAAAACTATTTCTTTACAAAAGCTAATAGCTTTTGCTCTTGATATTGCCCGAGGAATGGAATATATACACTCTCAAGGTGTCATTCATCGAGACCTTAAACCTGAGAATGTCCTTATTGATATAGACTCTCATCTTAAAATTGCTGATTTTGGTATTGCTTGTGAGGAGGCATTCTGTGACTTATTAGCTGATGACCCTGGCACCTACCGTTGGATGGCACCTGAGATGATCAAACGTAAATCCTATGGGAGAAAGGTTGATGTCTACAGTTTTGGTCTTATCTTGTGGGAAATGTTGACCGGAACAATACCATATGAGGATATGAATCCAATCCAGGCTGCTTTTGCTGTTGTAAATAAGGTATGTTCCTTTGTAATTAAACCATCTAGGTTTATAATGTGAATATCACGCTCTTTAATATTTATAACTTCATTATTCATTGCCGGTACTCTTTGTAAGGGTCCTGTATTATCCTGGCCTTTAATGAATTGTTCTTTGTGCACTCTGCCTTGAAATTTTCTCAAATGGATGGAAAAGGTTCACAGCCTCTTTTTCCACCTCAAAAGTCCCCTTTTCTTCTATGATTCTTCATGTCTTCTGGAGTTTGAGGTTGTTTTGGACCTTTTCAAATGGGCATCATGTAAGAGTAATGCAAACCGGAATTTTGTACAATTATTGTCTCACTTGGCTTGCAGCTAGACAATGCATGCTCCATTAATGATTCTCCAGGCTGTTCACCTTCTAAGGAAATCAAACATTGAACTGAATAAAATCCAAACAAGCTTTTCCCATCCCATAAAGTACACTACATCTTATAGCAAAACAAGTATATTTGTGAGATATAGCTGAAAGCCCTTGTTAAGTTCCTCCTTTGCATAGAAAACAATAGTGGAGTATATATTTATGCAACTGGTTTCTTAAAAGTATATATTTATGCAACTGGTTTCTTAAAAGTTAAACTAGCTGTTCACCTTCTAAGGAAATCAAACATTGAACTGAATAAAATCCAAACAAGCTTTTCCCATCCCATAAAGTACACTACATCTTATAGCAAAACAAGTATATTTGTGAGATATAGCTGAAAGCCCTTGTTAACAACTAATACTTGGGTAATTGTGGGAAATTTTTTTATAGCAAACAGTTTCATTTCTCTTTGGTAGTTGATTTATCTGAATTTGAATAAAAGTGTAGTTGGTCAACCATCTTTTATATATTATTTCTTTTCTCTTATTTTGAAACTCAAATTACAGAGTTTACCTATGCTATTCTTATATTTCTGTTACGTGGTATTGTATTTCTTCAGAATTCAAGGCCAGTTATTCCTTCAGACTGCCCATCTGCTATGCGAGCTTTAATTGAGCAATGCTGGTCCTTGCAACCAGATAAGAGGCCTGAGTTCTGGCAGATTGTTAAGGTATTAGAGCAATTTGAATCTTCACTTGCCCGTGATGGAAACCTGACTCTGGTGCAAAGCCCTAGTTGCCAAGATCATAAGAAAGGGCTTCGTCATTGGATTCAAAAGCTTGGTCCCGTGCATCAAAATAGTGGCCCTATGCCTAAGCCCAAATTCACTTGAATCTCTGAAGTGTCCTGGCTTTTTGTAATACACCAGGTCCGTTGTAATTAAAAGTGAAAGTTTTGTTTTTTAGGTTCTCTGGTTGTGGTCCACTTTACAACGTTCTTGTGATTGTAAATTGTTTTTAGGCATGCACATTAAGGTGAAAGCATCTTTTATTTGCGCTGTGTATGCACTCATCAATTATAATCAACTTATGGCACTCTTGGCTTCTTGTTGTAGTTGTAGTTGATACTTCATACCAAAAAATATCCCCCTTCCTCCCTCCTTCCAAAGGAGAGTTTATAATTCTTGTTGGCTGCTTCTTCAAAGAGGTGAAAAAACAATAGATTTTTTTTTCCTCAGATTTTATTTTATTTTTTTTGTTTTGGTTACATGAGGTACTCGTAGTTTTAGTTTTTCTAATGTCAGAATTGTAATTCTGCATTTAATGTGTCATTTGTTTTTTCGACTGATGTCCTGAATGATGCATACGGAACCAATGAGAGAATGAGTTCGTTAACTCTGCATGCTTTGCTTTCTTTATAGTACTTTGTTTTACACCTGTGCATCATAATTCATAAAATTGAAGTTACTATCTTCAGAAGTCTTTTGTTTTGTATGAGTTTAGAGAAGGACAAGGAATGGAATACGGTGGAAGAACAAAACTTATATCTCCTTGGTATATATTTGTAGATGGAAAGGAAATATTTTGGCAATACATTTTTGCGGGTCCAATTATGTTTTCATCCATTTCCGCTTGGACAGAGAAATGTAAGAGAAGTAATTTTTGTAGGTCTTATTATCATGTACTTACGTTCATTTTGCATTCGTTTATATGGATTTATATATTTTTTTTAATAAAATCAAATAAAGGAAGCCAAACATTCATTCCTTTTTATTAGATAATACTAAACAAGATAAATTATAGTTTTTCTAGTTTTCTTTTCCTTTCCTTTCTTTTTTCTTAATGGTACTCTTCTTTTCTTTTCTTTTCCTTCCGTGGTAGCAAAGGAAGAAGGTTAACACTTAAAAGGTGAATCTCCTATATTACTATGACGCGAATGGCACTGCTATGCAAAGGTAGTAAGATTCAGATGCACTTTGAATAGAGTGTTGCGATATATAGTCTCACATTGTTTGTATGTGTCAACTAATGTGAAGTTTATAAGGCCTTGGACACTCTCATCCTTTGAGCTAGCTTTTGGGGTGGTGTATCTCAAGGTTCTTTACATGGTATCAGAGTTTGAGTGACTATAATGTCACAAGTTCGATCCTTACCGCCCTCACTTTAAAGTGGAATTAAAATAAAAGCACAAAAAGGTAAATCAAAAATTGGGCTTGTACAATATCCACGCTTCTAGCTCAATGGACTCTCATGTGAGGGAGTGTGTTGAGATATATAGTCCCAATATCTACGTTTTTAGCCCAATGGGCTCTCATGTGAGGGGACATGTTGAGATATATAGTCTCACATTGTTTATATGTGCCAACTAATGTGGAGTTTATAAGGCCTTGGACACTCCCACCCTTTGAGCTAGCTTTTGGAGTGGTGTATTCCAAGATTCTTTACAAATAGGATGAAAAGGAGAACAAAAATGACATTAGCGAAAATTGTAGGAAAAGATATGATGGCCATAACATTTCAAGAATGTAAATAAATATTGGGAAATGTATTTCTTATGTTACATGAGACAATTTGTCTCATGTAACATACAAAAAAGTGGATGAGACTCACCTTTTTTCTTTCTCTCCCTTCTTCAAAATGGGTCTTATTTACTTTTTGGGAAAACTTCAAAAATTCCCCTATGAGTTTTCTCAATTATCACTTACCCCCTCACAAAATTTTTGAATCATTTACACCCCTATTTAAATTTTTTTATCACTTACCCCCTGATTTAAAGTTTCTTTATCATTTACCCCCTCACTTAGGGGGATAAATGATTAAAAAACTTTAAGTCATGGGATAAATGATTCAAAATTTTGAAGAGGGGGTAAATGATTATGAAAAAAGTTATAAGGGGGTTTTTGAAATTTTTCTTTACTTTTTTGTGTATTGTATGAGACAAATTATCTCATGTAATATTAGAAAAATCAAACCCATAAATATTATACACCTGACTAAAAAGTTTTAAAAGTAGGTAGCTTTCATTCCAATTGCCATTGTTGAAGCCCAAGGCCATGTTGGGTATATTTGGGCTTTAACCTCTATTGGCATTAGCTAATAACCATCACTGTCTCCAGCGGTAGTCTTTGGTAGGCTCAGGAGTTTATGCCTGAGCTTCAATTTTTAAGGCCTTAGGTTTTCTATTCTTCTGTTTTTTCTTATCCAGTCTATTAAAAAAATTATGCATATGCTTTTTTTTAGTTTTATAATTTTTAATCTATATTTTTAAAGATTCATCAATTTTTAATCTATAATCTTTATGGCTTATAGTTTATGTTTGATTTTTCATTTAGCAACTTGCAACTTTACTTTGCTTTTTCATTTATGATTTGCGTCCAAACTTGAATATATATTACAATTCATAGTTTGCCCCTGTTTCTTTCCCATTTCGATACATTCATGTTTTAAAGTCAATCGTGTTTTAAACATTTAATAATGCTTTATCTTAATGTCCTGTCATATTTCCTAATTATTTCAAATGTTATTTTTAAATTAACCCTGACAAAATTTTTATTTATAAACTCGATAGTGGGACCATTATTTGAGAACGTTAAAATATTTTTTTGAAAATTTATAATTACACTAATGTATATAACATTATTATTTAAAGTATACTTCATCAATAAAAAATAAAATAATATAAATAATTATATATCCAAAAGTAATTTTCATTAATATTATTCAAACAAGAAGAAGATTATATTTATAAATTTTTTGTTTATAAACTCTTACAGACTATATTATATTTTACCGATAAGACACTTTTAAGTGAAGTCTTATCGATAAAATATTATGTAGTTTGTAAATTTGTATAAAAAAAATTGTCAATATAATCCTCCTCTTGAAACAATATTCACTTTGACTTATTACCTTTTAAGGGAAGGTTTTTAAATATAAAATACTTTACTCTAAATCAACTTTTATTAAATTAAATTCTAGTTCAATTACACACTTATATATCTATCCCCCTTGAGTATGTGCCATTAGAAAAAGTCATTTTCATATAAATTAGACACAAAAAACCCAACTATATATAAATTAGTGAGATTATATCTAAACCTATTGTCACTCTGAAAATACTTAACTAGTAAGCATCAAAATAGTTCACTTGTAAAACTTATGTTAATTTTCCTCTGTACTCTCCTATTTGTAATCATGCTGACTCACAGGTTAAGAAAATTAAGTTATTACTTAATAGCTGATGTTAGCTGACTCACAGGATCTTTAAAATTTAAATAATCTTGTTTCGGTATATGGAGATGGATTATGAAAAGCGCATGAAGGATCCCTCTGACAAAGTCTTAATGAAGTTTCAGCTTTATGAAAAAAAAAAAAGAGAGAGGTTAGGATAAGACTCGTATAAAAGACCGAGTAGAAAAAGGGAAAGATAAGTGTGTGAAAATGCTACTATTTCTGGAATATAGCTTTCATAAAGGACTATTTGATTATTTTGTCTCTCATTAATTAATTAATAATTATTTTGTTCCTGTTTTGAAACTATCTACCAATTTGTCCCTCTTTAATTGACTAACTTGAATTTTTAATCAACTAAATGGTTTTTGGGAGATTTAATCGACTAAATCTCCCTACTTAATCGATTAAAAAATCATACTGACTTGTTTTCCTTTGTTGTCTGTTGGGAGATTTAGTCGATTAAATAGAGAGATTTAGTCGATTAAATCTCCCAACAGCTATTTTTGCCTGTTTTGACCATTTAATCGATTAAAAATGCAAGGTAGTCGATTAAAGAATGGCAGATTGGTAGATAATTTCGAATCAGGGACAAAATAATTATTAATTAATTAATAAGAGACAAAAGGATGAAAAAACCTTTCATAAAGGGCTGGAGTTATTGGTTATGTCATGTGTTCTCGTTTCTCCAAAAAAAATTTCATTATACAATCGAAAAACCAAGTTAAAAAAAAAACTGTGAAAACAAAATCAGCTTATTATGATTAATAAATAAATGAAGAAATGATAACAGGGAAATTAGGATGGATACTTGCAGTATTGTATTATTTTATTATACAAGTAGTTAAATCTAAAGCCAAAAACCAACTCACTAAAAAAACTATAAATAATCAATTTTTAAATCCAACCCACCATAACATCTATTGTGGTTGTTGCTTATTTCATCACCATTAGCAGCTCAATTACAATAGCCACAATGCTATTCTTCACAACTGTTATCTCCTTTAACTACTGTTTTCAATATAAAACGATGATAATACCGACTTAATATTGATGTTAATTTTCAATAGACTCTGTACAAGTTATTGAATTTTATTAGTTTTATTTTTTTTAGTGTTTTAGATGAATCTTCCACCCTAATAATACTCTTACGCAAACACTTTTAACTAAATTTTTTTGATATAATTCTGTAGATTAGTGGCGGGATGACGTCAATAACCACCAAGGTTGGTATCTTTAACATGAAGAGTTCAGGGGAACTTTTCTCCAGCCTTGCTTTTTTTTTTTAAAAAGGCTTTTTTTTTTTGTTCCCTATGTTTACTAGTAGATTTTGATGAGGGGCACAAAATGCGCTTTTTGAGTCGGTTTTGGTTACCCATGGCAGACGTGTAAGTATAGAGGGATAATTGAGAGAGAGAAAATGAGTTAGAGATTACTCGGGGATGACAAAGTTTTGTGTGCAGGCTCAGCGAGGAGATTCATATCAAGAAGTAAGTAATTTTACCACAAGTGATAAGGAACTTTTATGTCTTTTAATTAGAGGTCTCAAATTTTAATACTAAGAATAAAAAAATAGTTTTGGAAGAGTCACCCCTTTCTAGGATTAGACAGTGCTTAAACCGGATTAATTCAAAAGATGAATCGACTGAGAAGACTCAAAAAAAATATATACACATGCTTGAAATCTATTTTGAAAAAAACTAATTTGATTTTTAAAATAAAAATTATTTGATAAGATCTGTTTCGTAAAAATAATAAAAATATCTGAGTTATTTTTATTTTGTGTTTTGACTTTTATCTTCCAAAATCAAAAAATAGAAAACATGCCATGTTTGAATATTGAATATTGTTTCTAAAAACAGATTTTTGGTTTCAGAACAAAAAAAAAAGTTTGATAAGCCTTATTTTGTAAAAAAGTTTTAAAAATTGTAACTGTGACTTTTTTTAGAATCAAATT